GAGAGAAAACTGAGGATTGGGAAGGGGGAGGACGTGATTGCTCAGGCAAAGTATGCTTTCTGCTCGTTCAGCTTCATTTGCAGAGTTCACAATTGGGTCTATCCATGATAAAAATAATTAGAAAACAGTAAGCAAATGAAGTTTTCTAACCTCAGAATGAAATTGTCAGGTTGATGTAATAAGTGCTTTCAGACATGTGCAGCAGGAGGAAAGGTAATTATTTAACTTGCCTATTAGTTTAGTGGCTGTGAAAGGCACAGTACTCCTTGAAGTGAGAGGGAAGTCAAGGAGTTGAGATTTGCATTGATCTGCTATAGGGAGGCTGAGTGGCCTATTTCTATCTTGGCCAGGCATTTCTTATAATATTGTTGTTTTCAGTTGCTTGTAACCTCATTAAATGTTTGCTGTTTGTATGTATGTTGGGAGGCAGGGTTCTGGGAAAATAACAGCAAGTAACCATGTAAGCAAATAGCTAATCTATGTTTGCTCAGCCTGATATGTCATCAAATTCTTCCCAAGCACGTTAATGTACAGCTAAAATGCTAACTAGAGCCTCAATCCCCATCTGAAGCTTGCCTGGGAAGTTGGGTGAGAGATCCAGGCAGAGGCCACAGTGCCCAGCTACTGCTATTTGTGCATTAAAATTAGTTAGGGCTCTTCCTGTGGAGATTGTTGACTCCTCTGAAAATTTTGTGTATATTTCTGCTTATTGAATGGTTACTGTTATCCCTTCTGGCATTCCTGGAAGTTACTCCTCCACCCACAATAATCAGAACTTGAAAAAAACCCTTCATTCCTCTAGAAGGGGCAAAGAAGGATACTGCTGAGATCCAAAATAAGAAGCTTAGCCTTGCCAAGACTCTGCAAAAGTGCTGCAGAGGTATGTCTGAATTGCTCAGGTTCCCTTTGTGGTGTTTCACATGCTTATACAAACTCCACCTAATTACATTATTTGTGATTGACAGGAAATCCTTGGGCTAAATTATTTGAACTTTATGAGTGCCCTGTTAATTCAGGTGGCTCTTGTGGATTCTTATGGGCTATTCAGTCATCCAGGTATTTGAACATAACATATTAAACTTGCAATAATGCAATAAATCCACCTTTGAGGCTGTTAGTATTAGGTGCAAAATGTGGTAGCCACATGGTGCAAAGCACTGGTACTGGCTCTGCTTGTTCAAGTGAATTTGGCAGGATAAGTTAATGGCAGACCTCACTGCCAAATCAGGGCTTCATGCTAGATTAGATAGCAGCGGGGTTTTTTTGTGGCTAGGTTAGACACATACACTCACAAAAGTGTTGAATTTTGTTTTCCATCTAAGCAGACAGGGATGTGGTGGTTGTTTGCATCAAACTGTGCTGCTTGATGATCTGGTCATTCACTGATCCAACATGAAGAATCATGTAACCACTGCCTTAGCCATCAGATAACTTGTTGATCCAGTGCTGGCACATATTTCATAAGGCAGTTGTTGCTTGAAGCGGTATGGAAAGGGATGTATAATTGACTCTATCAGTTAAAAATAAAAAATCAGTCATTAGTTCATGTCAGCTTACTCGAAACCTAACATAAACCCCACAAAATTGTCTGTCATCTGGGTGGAATCTGCACATGAGAAATATGGTGTGTTTACAAATTAGCCATGTGGGCTGGAAGGCAAATACACAAGGTGTGTCTTCTATGTCATGTGTCTGGCATCCTCTAAATTCTGACTGCAGACATTTTCAGCCTCCCTCAGATTTTGTGAGTAGTGCTATACTTATCTACAAACATGCTTTCTCATTTTACTGCATTAGCCAGTCTGTTGTCCCTTTTTTCCTCAATTTGTTTGTGTCAGAAGTTTGTTTCAGAGTATAATGGGGAGGAAAGGAGGGTGCAGGTACACAGTGTCACTGCTGTATGTTTGCCCTGAAGCAAATTATGTAAGGTAAAAAAAAAATGTGACTTTTTGCTTGAAATGTTAAGTTCAAGGCTTGTGAAGAGGGTGGTGATGTCCTGCTGGTCATGTGGGCACTTGCAGAGTCTTCTCAGAAAGCTCTGTCAGGTGCCATTGCTATTTTTTGCTGTGTGTTAGAAGATTATGTCAGAAATGACAAAGCATCCTGGTCTCCATTCCAGAGGTTTCATTGATCCTTTATGTACCGAAGTCCTAGTGATTGAATGCCTTGAAGATGAGGTTTGAAATCATAAACCCATTTGGGTTTAAGTTGCTTTGTGTGATTTTTCTTATCAGCTGTAGGAATGAACTTGGAAAGACTGCATCCAGCTGGGACTTTTTAAACTCACTTAGGAGCCTTTATCCATGAGATACCACTTTTTTTTTCCTTACAAAAGCTCTTGCAATCCCAGCCATGAATTCTTGTTTGATCTTTGTGAACTACTGTGACCATTGATACGTAATCTGAACTTTGCTATTTCATGTGTCCCATCTGAGATGTGGCCTATTCTTCATACAAAGAGGGAATGGTTTCCATAATCAGGCAGAGCAGAGTACTAAACATCTCTCCAAAGAGCCACGGAAGTGAGAAGCAAAACTCAAATGAGTTTTTATCATACCTGAGCTCTCTTCTGGTTCACTGGTGTGGGTTGTATTGTAATAGCACTTCAGGCTGAAGTGAAAATCACTATTGTGCTAGACTCCATATAAACACAGAGAATAACACAGACCTTGCAAAGGCTTTATAATACAATTTAACTTACGATGAAACAGATGTTTGTGACAATGGAGGAGAAGAGAACACTAAAACAGCATTAGTACATGTTCTGATGCTTGTAATGGGCATTTCTTTGGGCTCTGAATAATTAGAAAGCTTCATAGAAATATTTAATTACAAATAAATATTAGCAAAGCCTATTACATGAAGAGAGAAAATAGGACGGTAATTTTTAGTTCCAAATACCATACAACAGTTTTGGCCTAATGTAAAATGTGTGATACAGACGGACTAAAACAGAGGGAGAAGTGAATGGTACTTGAGGAGTACACAAAGACCTGGAACAGATATTTAATGTTAGCTGGTTGAGATTGTGTAACTGGATGGCAGTATAATACAGTTTTGGCATCTTTTGTGGATATTTTTATTCACTGATATTTTTCAAGCATATTGTTTCAAACATGGTTAGCTTGAGTCACAGCTCAAAAACGTTGATGAGCACACGTTTTGTTGAGAGGTTACGAATGGTTTTCTTTGCTGTTCACTTCCCGTGGCAGTTCAGATGCCTCATGTGACAGCACAGCCCCTGACTTTTGGACTTAACTCCTGTAAGTTGCACTAGGTTTTTCAGCTTTTAACATTTATGGACTGAGTTGTGTTGACACATAGGGCTTGATCCTACCCTGTATGATCAGGTGCAATTCTTGGGCTTTGAAAACCAAGCAGGTAGATTAGAATAAAATTTTTTATTCATTTACAAGCAAAACACTACCTCAGTTGTTTGTTTTTTTTTTTTTAAGGAGTCCACTGACTCTCTTGGTACAGTGTTGTTACAGGGTATTATTTACAGCCTAGTAGGATTTCAGCTAAGCTTTCAACATGTTGTGGGTTTTGTTTATTTTGCCATATCTGTTTTCTCCTACTTCACTCATCTTTGAATTTGGCAATCTGTGTATGTTTTCTTAAAATAATTTTGTAATGGCTTTGAGGTGCAGCTTCTGATAGGAAGGCCATTGACGAATATTTCTCAAAGGTTCAGTTGTGGTGATATTTAGGGTTGGCTCTGAGATGCCTTGCTGTTTTGGGTCAGGGATCTCTGGGCTTTACAAAGTCAAGCCTTGGCTATCACCTCTCTGAGTAGCTGCAAGAACCAAGAATGCATATTATTAGCCATATAGATGCTTTCTTGAATTGCCCTTTTGAGTGGCTCTGCAGGCCTCTGACATGCTGTAACAGGACACATTTCCTGTGAAGCCTGTGGTTCTTGTCAGTAGGAATGTTGCATATTTAGTATCTGTCATAGTTAGGTGATGTAGAAGCTATTTGAGCTTTCTCTCCAAGAAAAACTGAAAGGTATCCCAGATAGTTTACTTATGTCTTATAAATCTTTGATCCGCCCAGGGGCTAAGGGCTTGTTGATGATGGCAAAAATGTGGTCTGAAATCAACCACTGACAGCCAGCACTGCATGTTCCTGCACTGAGAGAATTGGGGTGTCTCAGACCCCTCGATCAAGCCCTGCCATACAGTCACTGGTGCAGAGGGAATAAGGGCTGTTGGTCCCGTGCTGCTGGTGACACCCAAAGTGTTGGCAAATCTAGCCCAATGCACATGACTCAGTTACTCATCTAGGGTCCCGTGGGTGTCATTTGGTCTCCTGCAGTGTCCTACAGAACCCAGTGTGTATTTAGAGACTACTTTACGGCCTGGATGCAGACACTACTTTGATTTAAGTGGATAGAAGAAGGGCATGGGTTAGCTCTAACCTTTGATGAATTGTTCATGCTCAGAAAATGAAGTTGCTGTGTCCTGCTGATCACAGCCTTCATCTGGGTTTTGGCTTGTGAAATAAGGAAGTCATTTTATCATCAGATGTGCTATGATTTTGCAGTGAATATTCCCTTTTAGTAAAAAAGGTGAAAAATGTATTCTCTCAAACAAAACTTTTGCACTAAGTAGATGGTTTGTGTGGAGACTGCAACTGAAAGTACAGTTCAGGCCAGGGACTGGCATGAGCAGGGGGAGCCTGCTGAAGGTAGATGGGTGACTGGCAGTGGTAGAGTGTGTTACTTACATGTTATGTGCTGGGACATGTAGGGGGGAATAGGGTATCATGTACTAGGATATAACTGCTGGGCAAATTACCATGAAAAGCATGGTACCAGAGACAGGGCCGAATTCTGATGGCCCTCTTGTTTCCAACAAATTTTCATAAACTGTATTTGGAAGAAATCTCTCACTTTTGTGCAGTAGAGCCGAAGCAGTATGTCCTGCCCAGTGTGCAGGTTACAGCATGTACAACATGCCCTGACTCCCTCTCTGCCTGTTTCTTCTCTCTCTCCTCAGATGACCAGTGACCCATGTGCCGAGCAGCCCCGGTCCATGCCTGGCATGCTGGCTGGAGTCAACCCTTGCCACTGAGGCCAGGAGGAGGGAGGAATCACCATGGCCTCATCCCAGCGGGCCCGGCACATTGGCCCTCCTGATGGAGGCTGGGGATGGATGATTGTTGCTGGCTGCTTCCTTGTCACTATCTGCACCAGGGCCGTGACAAGGTAAAGGCAACTGATGCTTGTCTTGCTGACCTGTTTGTGCCATTATATCTTTTTCCTTTTTTTCTTTTACCTTAGAAGGAGGGTTTGAGATCTCCCCTGATGTCCCACAGCTGCCAGGGTTATTCTGGTTAGGTACAAACTCTTGCTACATTTTTAAAGGCTTCCTGAAACCCTTGAAACTGTAGGGATGGCTGAGGGATTATGAGACCTCTGGTTTTAGTCTTGCCTCTTCTGACAGCTGCTCTAGCTTTCAGCACCCTCTGCTTGATTTCTTACAGAATCAAGATGTGGAGCAGGTAGAGCTATTTCAGGCTCTGGTGGTTTGGCTGGGGAGGGAGGAATCATGTAGGGTCACTTTGGGTTCACTGTATTCCTCTGACCCCACAGCCATGCTCATTTTTGCTAGTCCCAGTGAATTGGCTTCCTGAGTCTCTCTGAAAAACACATAAATAGCCCCTTCTCCTCCTGCAAGTATTTCAGGTGCTGTTCTGCCCTGGAGAAGAAACCCCTCTCTATACCCTTCTGGTATCCAAAATATGCAGAAAATATTTCTCGAAAATAGAAAGAACAGGAATAGATTTCTGCCTTGCATAAACATAATGCAATGTGGGATGAGATTACTTCCACAGTGACTTTGATATCGGCTGGAGACAGAGGAGCCTGCTGTGTGTGAACATGGACATTTAAGCTATATTAGGCAGAGAGATAAGCACCCTGGTAAGTGAGGAACACTGAATCAGTGTCTTGTTGGACAGTCAGTATAATGTAAATACAGTGTTTCCTACCTAAAGTTCATATTTCTTTTAAAATAAAGCTGCCAGGTTTAGGGATATAAAACCTAAGGTCTTGTACTTAAAAACATAAAAGAGGCATAGAAACACTGATACAGTGTTACTTAATGGATGCAAATATATCAATTTCATAACAGCAGTAGAGAATTCCTAGTGGATTTAATTATTTTTTAATGTATGGAATGTGTTACATCCAAGAAATGATCTAATGGCTGGCACACAGTAGACTATATAGAAGAATGAAGTATGTGCAAGAAAAAAAGCTGAAGAAAGTGGTCATTCATTGATTTGCTGGAGGGAAAAAGAGGATGAAAAGGCATCTCTTGTTGATCCAGGAATGAGGATGAAACTGTGCAGCTTTTAATCTGTTCCCCTGCAGAGACAGGTAGAACAGTAACACTTGTTAAGCAGAGCAAAGTAACATCTCTTGGAAGCCTTTCATTAAAATATTGGAAGGTCCACAGGCTCCTGCTGTGTTTTGATTCTCTGTTTGTCAGGATTTGCTTTGCACTTGTCCCTCCATGAACACGTTGGTAGTGTTTGCTCTATAGGTACTACATTAGCCAGTTTGTGCAGGTGTAGAATAGCGAGCAACCAGGTCAGTGAAGAAGTAGAAAGCTAGGGCTTTATGTTCCAGGGAAGCAACATCACAGTATGAGATATATATAACTGATGATAATTACAACTTCATTTAAGTTTAAAATACTGTGAGGTATAAAAACTCTAGAGGCAGACACCCCAGCAAGAAACATGTGGCATTATAATATTTGTAATCTCTCTGGAGTAGCTATATGTCTGAATTAGGCTCTACATCAGCCTAATTGTCTAATCCCACTGTTGAGATAATAGTTGGACACCAGTTTTTGATTCAATTGTTGCCAATGCAAAGCAAGGATTGTTCTCATATTCCATGTCGTGTCCCTCATTCATTAAGGTAGATCTTCTCTGCCAGTATCCCTTAGAAACTGTTTAAACATTTCTCCATCTCATTGGCATATAGGCAAAACACAGATTTGATTTTTCTGGGAGCTGGAGAAGACCTTCAAGTGGCTGCTTTTTATACCTGAAGAGTGAGACCCGTGTTTTCTGTGAGCAAATGTCCCATGTTCAACAAATTGATGTTCATATTTTATGTCCTAGGTGCATCTCCATATTTTTTGTGGAGTTCCAGGCATACTTTGGGCAGGATTATGCCAGAACTGCTTGGATCCACTCCATTGTCGACTGTGCTACAATGCTCTGTGGTGTGTATTACCCTTTCAGGCCTAATGTGGTTGCTTTTTCATCCGTTCCGTCTGGTTTTAGTATATTCACACGTTGGTGGAGTCAGCTGGGAAAGAGTGATACTGTGGGCTCTCTGGGGCATGGTATATCCAAGCTGCTTCCATCAGCATAGTTGTGCAGGAAGGGAGTGTCTTCATATTGAAGAAAAGAAGCAGAACTTATTCAGTGATCTAAGTTTTCAGAAATGTACTTTTGTCGAGGTCTTGTGGGACATGTCGTGTTAGAGAGCTCTTAACTGAGCACATTTCTTTTGCCTTTTGGTTGGAGTCATATTTGAGACTTAGCACAGGATGTACATCTTGCCTCCAGATCAAGTCACAGTCATCTTCCTTTTACCACACATTTATATTTACAAATAGTCTTCTCCCCTAAAAGAAGATTTGGTGACAGTATAAATGCAGCAATTGTTCCACATTTCTCATGGGTTTGCTTTCAAGCTATACAGCTAGGTGAAAATCCATGCCCTAGTCCTGCGGAAGAGGGTTAATCCATGAGAATTGCTAGAAAGGCAGGGGGACCCAGCTGGAATGAGACATAGCAACTGACCTGTGTCAGCCAGGGTATGTCTGGGAAACATGTGAAGTTACTGAGGACTGAAGTGCAAATTCCAGGTGGGAGAAGGTTAGAGTATTGTAAGTGTGGAATAATGAACAGTGTGGGCTGTTGCTGTGGCCTCTCTTGACCCCAGCACTTCAGACTGTGTCCTGTAATGACTTTGATCTATGAAAATGACTGCTGAGAAAGCTACTGTAAATTTCAGGTTTATTGTGACTTCCAGGAAAATTGTTTTTAGAAGTTTTTTTTCCAATTGTTTTTGATGTTCATACCATTGCAATAGGGGGAATGTTGGAAGATCACTCTGTGTAACTGCTATCACCATTTTCTCCTGTTTGCCTCCTGCTTACTTTTGCTTTGTGACTGTTGAAATGCACTGTGTGTGAGGACCTGCCATTAACTACCAGCTTTGTTTGTTTCTTTGAAGCCCCACTTGGGAGTTTAATCAGTAATCATGTCTCCTGCCAAGTTGGTATCATGCTAGGAGGGCTGCTTGCATCTTCTGGACTAATTCTGAGTTCATTCGCCACCAGTCTGGAACATCTCTACTTATCATTAGGAGTCCTTACAGGTAGGATGCATTTCATACCCTTTGTTGCTGCCAGGAATGCAACACATGATGGCTGATCTCTTCATGTCATATTGACACCCCACTGGTCTAACAGAGATACTCAGACCTGTTCCCTTCATTGTAAAAGAGAGGCTTTGGCTGCTGCTGTGAGAGCTTCAGCACACACTGAGTCTCATGTAACCCAAATTCAGCACCCTGCAAAAGCAACTCTAACTCCTCTTAGAGAGAGGACTATGGATAAAGTTCTGAAATTATGGGAGGTCAAGAAGAACTGCTGTTGCAGGTGATATACATAAAAAGGTTTCATTTTTTACCTGTAATTTGAGAGGAGTTTGTTATACTAGGAATTCTAGACTGCCCCAAAATATTTGCATATTTAGGAAAGAAAAGTTTAAATCAAAACATAGGAGTAAGTAAGAGGAGGAAGATCACTGGGTGAATACCTGGGTCAGTGTGCATCTGATTTTTGTCTGCATTACATTCCATTTGAAAAATAAAAGAATTTCTGGTTGGTAGAATTGTTGTAGCAGCTCTTCCATTTGTGTTCAGGTATGGTGATAATAAATATCTTTGCTCTTTCCTATCTGTGCGTGTTTGTTGTGCACAGATGAACTTGAGAGGGGCCCGTGGTCACACTGACATTCCTTCCTCATTAATACTGACCTGGTAGCCACGGTGATATAAGACCTTGTACTTGGTCCCCTGCTGTTTAGTAATGAGTTGGTGGAATTACTGCAGTTCACATGCTGCCAACAGCTTATTTGTTTAAAAAAAAAAAAAATCCTTATTGTAGTGCATGTCACTCCTGTATTACAATGTTAATCTTTGACAAATGTGTTCATAACAAATAAAAAGGCTTCTTGTAAGTTGAGGGACTGCCACATACCATGCTAATGCCTCTGAGGCTTCGTTACTGGGAACTGCTGTGAATACTGAGGTGGAAAAGCAGTTGCACTTTGTACTACTCTATATGGAGTTGTAGAGACAAGCAATTCGACAAGCAATGAATTTCTAGTATGTGGGGACTGATTGGTAGAAAGATGAACTGTTGGGAAAGGCTAGAGTTGGTGCCCCCAACCCAGAGAGGAGGTGGGACCATAACGGGTGAATATCTAAATCCATAAAAGTTACAACAGTTGAAACGGTGAAGAGTGAAGCAGAAATGAGACAGGGGAGTGCCAATAAGTAACAGAGTTCCTCCTAAGAGGTATGAAAATGTTTTCAGCCCTAAACTTTGCCTTTGCACTTTTCACAGGACATTGATTCACTTTTTTTGGGATGTTTCTCCCTGCCAACTCACTAAAAAAATAAATGGCACGTACACCAAATAGAGTATGATTTTCACAACTCTCAAGTGACGTTCTCTAGCTCAGGGCTTTTCCTCTGGCTCTGGTGCCTGTACAAGTCCAACCTCAGCTTTGTGCCCTGCTTATCGCCTCGCCTCCTGAGGGGTGCCAGACCAGGCACCCGCCGCCCAGAGTCCCTCTAATCCACTTATTCCACCCTGGCAGGTTTAGTGCCTGTCCTACACAGTGTGGCCTTTGAGGAGGACACGGCAAGCTGGTTACGGCACTGGGTGATTATCTCTGCTGTTGGCAGTGGGGTCTGTTTTACCCTCAATGTAGGACATGCTCCAAAACCCTAGTCAGGAACTCATTTCTATGACTGATTCAGAAAATTCAGTTTTAGTGTTAGAGCAACCACTTGATGATTAAAATCTGCTCTCTGGTTCTGCAACAGAGACCACAATCTTTTTCTCAGTCCAAGAGATGAATCTTATTTGTTTACTCAACTGGATCTGGCTTTGCTTTCTGAGGCTTTTCTCCCCACTTTACTTGTAGGCAGGGATTTAAAATGGTCAAGACTCCAAGCAGCTGTTGCATGGAGTTTGTTTAGCTGACCAAGAAGGGGTTTTTGTAGAATATTAGTAACAGAGCCAGACTCTTTGTACTATGTTTCAGAGACCTGAAAATTAATGTTCAGGGTTGCAACAGACCGAAACAAAAAGTGGTGCCTCATCAGGACAGTGTGTCCAGTGCCAATATTGGTGCAGACCCTGGGGCAAGACGTCATCTTACATGCAGGAGAGGCTGACACAGAATTTCTCTGATGTTTAGTGATTATACTTGTTATTAAGTGAACCCTATCAGTTTTTTCTGAACCTTATTATCGTGTAGTGCTCATCAGTTAGGTTTGTCAGGACAGTGACTCTGCCACTGGAAGAAAAGTCATCCTAGTTCCTTATCACAGGGCTGCATGATACAGAATCAGAAAAACTTCCTAATCATTTGTGCTAATGAAAATACGCTATGTGGTTTAATTTAATATGTTCCATATGTCATGCTTAGTACTAAACCATCTGCACTGTGCTTTCTCTTCTAGGACTTGGGTTTGCACTTTGTTATTCTCCAGCCATTGCGATGGTGGGCAAATACTTCAACAAAAGAAAAGCACTGGCGTATGGAATAGCCATGTCAGGAAGTGGAATTGGTACCTTCATCCTGGCCCCTGTAGTCCAGCTCTTAATTGAGCAGTTTTCCTGGCGAGGAGCTTTACTCATCCTGGGAGGGTTTGTTTTAAACCTCTGTGTCTGTGGTGCCTTGATGCGGCCCATTTCTCTTAAGGAGGACCGTAAAACTGTTCCTGAGTTTCTTGAACAGGATCACGTCTCTGAAACAGAGAAACAAGACTTAAAGCAAATGCCCGTCTATTCACCTTTAATCAAAGTGTGGTCTCGTGAATGTTTATGCTACTGTTCATGGAAGGAATATGACTTTTTACTGATGCCAGGCTTCATGGTGCTGGCAGTGTCAGTTTTATTTATGGCATATGGCTGTAGCCCCCTTTTTGTCTACCTAGTGCCTTACGCTTTGAGTGTTGGAGTGAGTCATCACCAGGCTGCCTTCCTCATGTCCATACTTGGTGTCGTAGACATCATTGGTAATGTCACCTTTGGATGGCTAACAGACAGAAGGTAAGGGATTATAACTAAGCAAGTGTAAGCTTTAGCTGGTGGGAACCTGGATGCAAGTGAAGTAGCATGTGCAACTTAAAAAAAAAAATCCCACAGCATACAGTCTTAACTTTCAGAAATGGTTACTATTTAATGTTTTCGTCTCTTCTGAGTTTACTCAGTTCTGCTTGTTTAAGATCTTTTTTCCTGAAGAAATTATGTTTGTGCATTTGACAGTGGAAATGCAACCCCCTACCTGAGGTATGTTGAGCATGACTTTTTGTATCTATTTCCTAGAGGGTTTCACCCTGCTGCCTCTGACTTTCCATCTCTTTTGTGCTGCTGGGAGGCACAGAAGTTATGGAAGAGGGCCAAGAGTCTGGCCCAACACTGTCAGGCACATATTCGGAAGGACTGACTGAAAATTGTACATTTTCCAGTATGTAAGAACTCACCATGCTTTGTGAACTCAGCTCACTTCAAACATCAGTGTAAACATCAGTTACAGCAACTGTAAATCAGTAGATTTTGGCTAAATTAACAGGGATTTTGATTCTAAAAGATGTATTGTATTCTTTGTGCTTCTTCAGTTTGTGGGAAAAATCAATTACTGGTTTTGTGGAACAGGAAGGAAGGGAATTGACATCTTGCTTAGCTCATGCTAACTCATGTTTAAGGGCTGATTGGAAGAGTGACAGCTAAGAGAGGTATACTGCAATATTTTATGTATACTACTGGAAGACCTTGCTGAGCTGGAATGCAAAGCCCAGTGAAATACTGCCTTATACATTGAAACTTCAGAGGACTGCAAAATTCTGACAGCAGGATGGCTTTCCTCAGTAGGAGCATTCTGAAGAGCACTGCAGACAGCATGGACTGCTGCTTGCCAGATGTTTCTGCAGCTGTAGGTGGGCAGCTTTTCCTATCTGGGCTCATCAGTGCCAAGTTTTTAATCTTGAAGACTTTGTAAGAAAATGGACTTAAATTTGAGCTATATAAGAGAGAGACTGAAGCACTGGATGCCAGGACATAGGAACTGAGATGCTGTGTTCAGTGATAATATTTTTCTTTTCTGTTTTGAAATTTGCAGGTGTCTGAAGAAGCATCGGTACTTTTGCTACCTCTTTGCTGTGGGAATGGATGGCCTTTGTTGTCTTTTCCTGCCAGTTCTCCAAAACTTCCCCTTGCTTGTGCCTTTCTCATTTACCTTTGGCTACTTTGATGGAGCCTATGTAACGCTGATCCCTGTCGTGACGGCAGATGTAGTGGGAACTTCCTCGTTATCATCAGCATTGGGCGTTGTGTATTTCCTGCATGCCATACCGTATCTAGTGAGCCCGCCTGTGGCAGGTCAGCTCCCAAACGACTTTCCTGTAATCTTATCAGTACTTCAGAGTTACCTGTTAGTGTGATGTAACAGGAGAGGAAGGACAGCAAATGCGCACTAAATGTGGAGGTAGCCTCTGAGTAGAGAAATAACATGCTCCGAGATCTTCGTGAGTCTTTAGATCTCCCATCCCTGTCTTGATGGGTTAATTTCTACATATAGAGTGAGATGAAATTTGAAAACAAAACCCGTATGGAATGAGCTTCTAAGAGCTCTTACATCACCACTTCATAGTTTAGAAATTGCACAAGTAAAAGGAGCAAAATATTTCACTTTAAAATTGTGAGATTTTGAAAATGTAACCTAAAGGGAGTTTAATTCCAAGGTTTTTTTAAATTTTTTTTGGTGTGGAGTCCTTATCTTTAGTACTATTGTGCCTTTTCTCATGGATTTGAGATTTCAGGCTCCAAACAAAAGCCCATAAAAATCTTACTTCCTGCTGAGGACAAATCCCTCCCTGCCCCAGGAGGGAAAAATATAGTGATGGTGATGTAAAACTATATTGTTTGATTGTATTTATATGTGGTATCATATAAGTTTACAGGTTGATAAGTTCAGGAAACCCCATTGGTCACAGGATTTGGAAATTATCAGAATACTGGTGGATCTTTAAAAACCCTTTTTTTTTTATTTCCTACAGGTTGGCTGGTGGACACAACTGGCAGCTATACTGCATCATTCCTCCTGTGTGGATTTTCTATGATATTTAGTTCAACACTATTGTGCTTTGCAAGACTGGCAAAGAAAATCAAAAGAACACGTTTGCGGTCGCTCACTAGTGACACAGGCATGAAACAGCACATGTGGACAAATGGAGCAATAGCTTATTCTGTCACAGCAGAATTAGACCAAAAGGATGTTGAATTTTTGGCTGCAGACACAAACAGATGCAGCAACAGGTGACAAGTGCCACTAAGATTCAGTACGACACAGCCGAGACTGAGACAGAGGTGGCTCCGTAGTGTTAACGCTGCTGAAGATACTAGTCCTGTGAAACAAGGCATCTTTCAATTAGATTTTTCTGTCATACTTTAGTTGACTAAAATCTACATCCAGCAACAGTCATACCAAGTTAATGCAGTAATAGAAGAAAGCTAGAATGAAAATAGTCTGTAGATACAAATGTTCACAGATTTATTTGAAATGCAGTGTCCACTCCACAGGTGATCAATAATTGGCTGTACTCAACAGAAAACTATAAAGTAATCAGTCACCAAAACTGAACAATAACATTTACATTATTTAAAAAATATTATAATGACTTTTTGATTTGTCAAGCTTTTTGATGCTGTGGTTTAGTATGTTTCAATGGATTAATCACACACAACACCAAAACCTCCACACTTATCAGTCTGCATTAAACTCTTTGCAAATAACTGTTTTGAATGCCAAAGCCTTTTTTTTTTTTTTTTAATTTGGCAGAAAACTGTGATTTATGCTGAAAGTATCTCTGGAGCAGCTTTAATTTTTACAATGTGCCTGAACTTTGTACATACATTGCAATTTAATTTAATTTCAAATATGGTTTTAGACCTACTTTCCCAAGCCATCTACAGAAAAAAAATTTTTTTCCTCCTGGATATCTTTAAAGCTTGAATTTCTAAACATTGACATCTCAAATATGGGTTTCTATCTTGGAGGGTAGAAGAGGTACTGTGGCAGCTCTGCCATCTGAAGAGGAGTAAATTTGTGCCAGGGGACTAGGCATGCTGATAGACAAACCTGCTTTAGCTGCATTAAAGGCAGCCCAGGAGACCAGAGGAGAGGCTCGTGTGTTTTCGGAGTCCATTCCTCTTGTAAAATCAGCAGCTGTTGGAGAACTTTAGTGTCCATGCAACCAGACGACTGAGAGAATGCTCCTTCTCTAGGCTATGAGTAAAGAGGATTGTGCTGTGTATTGCAGTGGCAAGTGTGTCCCCTTTCAGCCCCAGGAGCTGTATCTTCAGGTGCTGCAATTTAGTGGTTTGTGCCATCTGAAGAGGTGTTAGGTCACTTGTCTTTGATGGCCAGAACACAACAGCTGGAACTTGGTGCTGGTTTCCTGCTGCTTGTGTGAGGAATTTACTAAAGCTGGCTGCTTCACAGGAGCTAGGGACTGAATGTAGATCATGGGTTAAATTACTGATCTGATGATCTAATAAATAATGGTTTGTTTCTACATTTCCAGACTGAAAATGTTTTCAGCAATGGAGGAACCTCACATTCCACTATACAAATAATTTCAGTGTTTTGATGCTGTATAAAGCTGTGTTCTGTTCATTAACAAATTGATCAGAGTCCAAATAATTTTCATTAACACTGACCTAGTAGATTTGTTAATCATCTGCAGTGTATTTTCAGTGGCTGTTCATGGTGTCCTTTTCCACCCTGTGCCTCGGAAGGGAAGGCAACATAGATTGATGTTCACCGAGTTGATTTAGATCAAGAGTACAGCCATAGGGGTGTAATGTCTTTTTTAACATATATATATATGAATAGCATGTAGTTTTATTATTCAAGCATATTTCAAATATAAAATATTAAAATTGTTTGACTTCAATTGTCTGTGATTAAATAAAACATTTCTCGCTGCCCTGCTTCAGAAGTGTAGTCAGAGTGTAGTAGTATGATATATGTGCACAGACCACAGAATAAGAGATGGAAGTGGAAGAACTGCTTAAAGATAATGACATAACCTTTCTTCAGCTCTGCATGAAAATTGAGTCCTGGTTCCTAATACTGTTTTTAACATATATTCATTAAAAAAATGGACAAAAATTATCCATGAATTTTTCTCAGTGAGTTAGGAAAAATAATTTGGAAAAAAATAAAGAGGTTTTATTAATTAATACTGATGAAGATAATGTTTTAGATCTTAATGCAATATTTTAATATTAAAGAAGTGGGGAATAGTATGATCTACAAAGAATATAAGTAATTTTAAAAAAGTTATAACCACTGCTATTTACTTTACAAAAATTTACTGGTATCCAGGGTACCACATCATAACAAGTCACTAGTTGTTCATGTCAGAGCTGCATATTGTAAAAGCCTGTTGGAATAACATGATATGCATTTTTATCATAGTTAGCTATACTGTGCAATACATTAGTAGCATTTTAAAGTTTTTTATTTCAAGATATTTTTTTCATAGGCTTTTCTCTTTATGTGTTTAAAGTAGTACTTCTTGTTTCAAATGTCTTATTTAGCAACAAATATTCAACTGGTTTTATACACAGACCTTTTGTAGAAAATGGTAGAATTCTTTCAGGGTTTCCTAACGCTGTTTCTGCTCTGACTTAAGTCAGTGGAGAAAAGCTTATATGCTGAAATGATGCCTTCTGTGCATAAAACACACTGTGAAATATCAGCCCTGTCATGAATGTCCCCACTAAGAAACAGAAGGAAGCATAACAACCTGCAAGCAGAAGAATTGGGAATGCAATCCAGGCTGGTGAAACCTTACACTAGATTTCTACCTCCTAATCCACACAACCCAAGCTGAATAGTTCACCTTTATCCTACCACATGAAATATTTCAGGCAACGTATTATATAAGTCTCTGGCTTACAATATTTTTAAAGAATGATTTATTGTATCTGTAATATTTTTTTCAGACACGATAATATTCAGGCTGTCCTTCAAGGAGGATATTTCCGGGCGTGGCACAGTGCAGCAGTAAACTGAGATAGCTGGGATAGCTGTGAGCAATTTGCCAGCCTAACACTACATGTTCAATGATCTTAGTGGTCTTTTCAACCTTAATGATCATGTAATTCTGTGTTCCTATCAGCCCTGATGGATACAAGTACCGATGGATATGAGCTTGGATGAAGCACTGCACTTCCCATGATAGTGTGGTTTGACTTGACTGGGGTAAGATCTGTCCAAGACAGAAACAGAAAGATTCTACCTCAGATGAATCCTGCCTGGAATAATGCTCTGTTCTGTGCAGTGGATGGATATTCAGCGTAAGTACTGCTTACAGCTGCTGAAGTTATCCCATCCGTTTCCATTCCATGAAGTCTGAATTGGGGTAGTAATAACTCTTTTGAAATTATTTATATTCTAGAATTTATGAAATTATTTATGTTCTAGTGATAATCTGGAACATTTAATAAATTGTACATTTAAAAATTGTGTGAAAACAGCATTGGAAAAGTACCTTCCACTGAAGAATTGCTCTTTTTTTTTCTGAGAAAAACATTCCTGAAACATTCCTGCCAACTTGGATAATAATTTATCTTTTGAAAAACAAAGTCTGTTTGTGCTACTATATGGAGAATATATTTTATATTGCCACAATAATTCCTTGTTTGCTTTCTAAAGTGTTACAAATTTATGTGAGAAGAAAGAGCTTGTTTAAATTAAGTTGTAACAGTACTTCACAGTTAGCATAGCAAAGTCCTAGTTGGGATTGCCTCAATAAACAGTGCCTTCTAAGTGACTATTCTGGTATATTTCAGTAGAATTTTTATCTAATTTAGAAGGTGGTTTTGATTCATAAATTAACACTTCCTGAAGGGTTATCTAGAGTCATTTTTTCCCTGCACCACTAGCATAGGCTCCAGTGATAAATTCATACTTGGGTGTGAATAGAGAGGTGGTCACCTTTTGTGTGGTTCTGGTTTTGCCCAATGGACTTGGATGCTCCAAACTGTCTTTCATTTTGTCCACCTCCCGAAGCTCAAGCTCAGCCTCTTCCCCTTATTGCCATGCCAGGCAGTGCAGCAGCACCACCCTGTGGGAGATAACGTTTCACCTCATTTACAAGACACACCGAAGGCTGTTAATACAGAGCATCCCCAGATGCTACGGCGGTCCAGCTCAGTCCTTCAGAGTCCAAAGAAGGTGAGGCACAACAAATACACTTCGTGCATCACTATGCCCCACAGTCGTTTTATTAGCTGTGCAGAAGATTGAACCACTCTGACTCTTCACAAAAATTCAGCTCACTTTTTCTTTTCCAAATAATTTATAGCTTATCCTTTTTTTTTGCAAGGTTCTTTTTCCAGGTGAGGTCCTGGTGGCAGCATGTGGAAAGGAGAACAGATTGCCACCACTTCTTCCTCAAATCGTTCCCTGCTGTCCTCCACCCTCTATACCCTCAGTAGAGTTTGGATAGCAATGATGCTGAGCTTAGAAACGCTCAAGATTGAGAAAGGCAGTGAGATCACCTAACATACCCTTTTACCCACATAGCTGAGCACATCACCATAGGTAGTCACTAGTTCCTGACTTCAACCCCACTGTTCTTCCTGTCAGCTTCCAGGAGTGGTCTGTCAGTCCTGCTCCCAGTCCTTCCTTTTCTCTCTCCTCACCACTCCTTTCCTAGGTAGGGCTGCCTTTGTAAGAGAGAAGTTGGCAGGTGGCTGGGAAACAAGGATGAATTTTTCCCCAGCCCTTTCTTATGAAGAAGGTGTGATTGTATTATGTGCACTGTTAAGCTCCTGATCACTTTCGCTCATATTAGGAAACATTCTCTGAGGGAGAGCTGAGAAGGAAGAGGTTTATTCATGTTTTCTGATCCATCACTGTGCTTTCATTCTGTCTATACAGGGGTGCTGTTGTAGGGCAGGAATACTGCAGGATGGCTGGGAACTAAAGTGCACATTCCTCCTGACATGGGCTCTGTCACCAGTTTGCTTCATGCTACACTACTGGCTAGGGCTCAGAAGTGATTTGGAATTACAGCATTAGTTTTCCCTGAGCACCATGGTCTATCCTACGAAGGCACACTACTGTGGATTTAGGTTGGGCTGCTGTAAAGAATATTGACGTTTAGTTAAATATCTGAAGACAATCACCTTGTCCATCCATTCTGTCAGCACTTTATCCCATTCACTAGACTCTGGGGGCACCCACCCCATTTTCCACATGCCCCTTGTGTTCTGCTGCCCTGCTCTCTGGTGCTCATGCAACTCTTCTCTCCAGCTGTGCTCTGCCCTCCATGCCCAGTTCAGTTTATTTCTTGTGTGTGCTTGCTATCCCTGGCTCGTTTCACAACCACAGATAACCATCTCTGGCAGCTCAAAGACTGCTTTTCCTTTCTCTCCAGATGTTTGTTGTAGTGGCTCCTGATAGTGTGGTTTTGGGTAAATGAGACAGATGCTGTTTTGTGCTGTTTTTTGATTCTTTGGTACAACGCCTCTGAAGCCAGTTTTGCTGAGACTCCAGGAAAAATAAATGGGGCTATCTACTGAGTCTTTCATATCCTGCCAAAACTCTATCCCTGTTACTTTTTCAAATGACCATTTTCCTCTTACCTACTCTACTAACATGAAGACTGGTCAGCAGAGAGATACCAGAAGCAATAGTTGATGGATTTAATGCTGTTTAGTAGTTTGAAACAATAATAAACATTTTGTAAGTTTTACAGTGAACTACTCAAACAGTGCTTTTTTAATATTTTTCATAATTAAACAGCATACAAGTTAGTAAACTGAACAAGCCTTCAACAAAAGTTTTTTCTACAAAGGTATTTTTTGAAATAGTTGAAAAAGCATCAGAAATTCCATTTCTGTTTAAGCATGCCTTTCAAATATCTAGAAAAAATACTGCCATATGATTTCCTTATCTTTTTCTCAGTAGAAGGTACTATTTCATTTTCAGCTTAAAAGTTCTGTATTCTACTGATCATCATTTATACCCATTAGTATTGAAGACTAAATTAGATGAGCTATTATTGTATAGCTATTATTATATATTATACATTACATTATGTAGTTATCTAAGCATGCTCTCTGTTAGCAAATGAACAAATGAACAATCATCATTATCATTGGAAAGTGATACCACCCGTGTTTCATCTGGTCATAAAGTCTACCTTAAGACAAAACCCAACCAACCAAACAACGAAAAAAGTTCAGAGACTCTGTTGAAATGTCCTTGGGTTTGGAGTTTTTTGGGTGTAAAGGATTTTTGTGAGCTTTAGCTTGAGATAGAAAGTTGTAGCTCAAATAATGCATTCTGATACTCTTCACTATTGTGATCCAAAGCAATGGCTTTTTCATAGCATTCAATTGCTTCTTGTTTCTGACCATTTAGCTTATGAACGAGTCCAAGTGTACCAAAATATGTTGCATCTCTTGAACCTCTCTCAAATTTTTGTCTTAACAACGACTGCACAGCTTCACTGCACTTACTTCTTCCAAAGGATTCTTTTTTAATTTTCAGCCCTTCTGTGTAATACTCAATGGCTTTCGATTCTGACCTCATGTGCCAACGCTGAAAATTGCCATAATTGAAGTAGAGCTCTTGTTTTTCATGACAGGTTAGATCATTTCTCTGAAGCAGTTCCTGAAATATCTTTTCTGCTTCTTCATACCTCTTGCCTAGTGCATACATGTTTGCTAGGTCCGTACAGGCAGCAACAAATTTTGGCTTTTGGTCTGCCACAAATTTAAAATGAGAAATGGCAAGTTTGATGAGCCTCTCCACTTCGTCTTGAGGTGGATTTCCTGTTTTTTTCCATTCAAATACTTTTTTTCTGTAGCAGATTCCTAGCTGGTGATGCAAAAAGCCAGAATTTGGTGTCAGTGCTAGGGCCTTTTCCAAAATATTCACTGCCTTACACAGTTCTCCTTTCCTTCTGTAAAATTTAGCAGCGTATCGCAGGCAATAAGGCAGATCAGGGGTTTTTTTCATAGCTTCTTCAATGTACCACTCCCCTTCATCAACTTGTTTTAAGTCCTGAAGTTTTAATGCAAGTAATGCCATAACACAAGTATCCTCTGGCTTCAGTTCCACTGCCCGCTTCAAGGCCTCAATGGATGGGCTTGTGTCTTCACCACATCTGTAAGCAAAATCTTCCAAGCGATACAGTGCTGTTGCATAGCCAGCATTAAAATCTGGGTTATTTGGCTCATCCTTTAGAGCATTTTCAAAGCAATTCTTTGCTCTCTCAAAGTATTTCCCCCCAAAACTTAATAATGCCCATCCTTGCTCAGCGTAGACCTCTGGAAACCTTGCCTTCCCATCAGCAGTACTTGAAAGCTTTTTGCAGCTGTTTTCCACTTTGCTTACATAAGTTTGAGCTTCTTCATATCTCTCCATGTGGTAATAGATCCAGGCATAGTTCCCCCAGGTAACAAGACTTCTCCTGGCAATTTCATCTGGATGACATTTTTGAACAATTTCTTCAGCTTTTTGGAGATTTCTCAGGGCTTTGTCATTTGAGTTCTTTAGGTGACATATGTAGGATAGTAGATTATAATATGCGATGTTAGATTCTCCAAAAAATTTGATGTGATCGACTATTGTTTCCTCTAGGGGATCAAGATCTACATCCTGCTTCAGTAAAGTCCATGTAAAATGACATTGCAACTGCAGCAAGGAAGTCTTCAAGGAATCCTTGTAAATGGTACTAGAAGAAATCAAAGAAAAACACACTTGATTTGTTTTTTGCTATTCTTGTTTTTAAACCAGGCATGATATACTTTAAAGGCCCCTAGTCCACAACACTTCAAATGATACCCCTTTATCCTCGCTGAGGTTTAAGCTCAGCTGGGAACTAAGCACTGTGCTGCTGCTCACTCATCCCCACCCCCACCTTGGTGGAATGGGGAGAAGAATCAAAAGGGAAACTTATAGGTTAAGGTAAGAACAGTTTAATAATTGAAACAACATCTAATAATAACAGTAAAAAATTAAAAGGGAAAAATAAATCTCAAAGAAAAACAAGTGATGTACAATACAATTGCTCATCACCTGCTGCCTGATGCCAGACTCCATCCCCACACCCCAGTCAGATCCTCTTCCAGGTGACTCTCCCAGTTTATATACTGAGCATGATATTCTATGGTGTAGAATATCCCTTTGGCCAGTTTGAGTCACCTGTCCCACCTATGCTCCCTCCCAGCATTTTTGTGCTGCTCCTCACTGGCAGAACATGAGATACAAAAAAGTCCTTGACTAGCATAAACATGACTTAGCAACAAACAAAACAGAATGTGTTGTCCACATTATTCTCATACTGAATCCAAAACACAGCACTGTACCAGCTACTGAGAAAAAATTAATTTTCATCCCAGGTGAAACCAGAACATTCCCTTTCTATTTTTCAACAGTTTTTTCTTCCCAAATCACCCAGATCCCTTAATTCCCTGCCTTTGGTCCCCTCCCTAAACATCCCATAATAAGTCTCATGCAATCTCCTAATGCTTTTCCTCACATCCCATAATGTGTCCCATATCCCTAGGCAATTTAAACTGTAAAGCCCTCCTGTAGACCCCTGGTGATGCTGGGTGTCCCCCCAGCCCGTGGGGCAGCCCTAGAAGGGCTGGGTGGTGGCTCATGTCCCTGACTGAGGCATTGAGGAGCCCTCACCTGCCCTTGTACCTCTGTGCCACTCCTGTGTCTGGGGGTGGGCTGATGGCTCTTCATCAGGCCTGGAAGCACCCAGGGCAGGGTGTTACTTGGATTTCCCCTCCTGCCATTACCTGCATATGCCTCTGTGTGGCTGCACAGACTGGCTTTTATCACACATTCTATCAAGGACACAACTTTACAACACAGAGAAGATGACATTTTAGTCCATTTGGGCTCTCCCTTAAAGAAGGAATCACATACAACTTTATTACTGAGGCTTCTCAGTCAAGTCCTTCTGTCCCCAAAAGGCTTCTCTGCTGTCCCTCCTATAAAACCTAGTGTTTCTAACAGCCTGTGTGGCACAGTGAGTGCCGCTGCTCACCTGACCAATCATGTCTTTTGAGTAAAAAAAGTGAGTGGAAAGATTGCAAAATTATGAGGAGGCAAACCAAGGGGGAATTGGGAAGCAATTCTTACAGGTTCTGGGACAATAGGAAGGAAGGACATGTTTCCACCCAAACCATCTGACACAGAGGTACTGACTGGAAGAAGGTCATTAACAGTGCTTACAGTGGCTGTTAATGCATAAGTTTGTCTTACAAACTTCTTTGCATTTCTCAAATGATTTCCTCTACCTAACTGATGTTTTGATTGGTATTAATAACAGTTCCTAATTAGAAGGCTGTATGTGAGGTAATTACAGTTCTTCTGGGATGAAGGGGAAGTGAAAGTAAGTTCCCATTATCATCATATCTTGTTAGAAAGCTTTGGCTACAGTTGAATTTCACAGAACAGGTATTGGCTCCCAAATCAGCAGGAATAGCTTGAAGCCTTTAAATAGTCCTGTTCAATTCAAAATGAAATGTATGACATTTTTTATTGCCTCACCTGAGAATCATGACAGTGTCCATGGCTGAAAACAACAGTGGAGACTAACGAATGAAAAGAGATTTGTGGAAAATGAATATTCATGAATGTCACAAACCCAGGTTTGAGATACAGATTAGACCCCTCTGGCTAGGCACCAACCTGGCTTTCATCCCTGAACTGCATGCACACAGCCTTTCTAACTTTGTTCTGTTTACAGAAACTGAACCTTGTTGGAGAAGCAATAACATGACAATATCCAAAAGCATCCTTATTTTATTTTGATTCTTCTAGTAAATATTCTGTAAAATATTTTCTGTTGTTTTGATGCTCAAAGTCCCTCACTGCTTACATTTTTATAAATAATAAGCATTACTTTCCTGTGGCATAGAGAAAAAGCATCTTGCAGGGACTAGGTTGCTATCTTACCTCATGGTATTCCTTCTCTGCTCACTTGTCTTCAGGTAACTTCAAAGCTGAAGGAGTGCTGCTCACTGTTGTTATGCTTCTCATTTTATAGAATTCAGCTCTCATGTGGTCTGTGACCAATTTCATGGGAAACAGAAAGTGAAACTTCAGCTTTTCTCCGAGTCTGCCAAAGAAGCAGAACAGCCTGCAGTGGGAGAATTGAAACTGCTGCATCAATAAGCTGCTCTTTTTCAGCCTGGCTCTGTACCATATGATACTTTGTGTTGTGGAAAATGTGGCAAAAGCTCCTAGTGCTCCCAGAGTTTACTCTGTTCAAAGGCAGTGGCATCTATGATGGGGGAGTATTTCAGTCTAGTATGGGCTGACCTGGTTATCATATACAGGCTAGGGAAGGGTCATTTCCCTCTCTTACCTCTGCACCTTTGCACACCTACATCACGCTTAAGGCTCCTATTTTATTGGTGTTGGGTCATGCACATAACAACCCCTTATTGCCCCTGCCTGCACTCCTTCATCCTGTGCCTCAACATCACAAGGTCTCTGTTGTTGTACCATGCCTGTGTTTCTTTGCACTATGTCATCATCTAAGACTACTAAATATCTCATCCCACCTGCAGGAACTGTTTGTCGCTGCTCTTTACATAAATCCAGAGTTAACCTTTAGTAAATCAAGTTAGATATAGGCAGTCAATTCAAGAAACTGCTGTCACAGTTGTGCCAAGCAAAACAAAGTCACTGATGGGTCAGTGACAAGGTCAGTCCCGAGGCCATGCAAACTCAGTGCAAAGCTTGTGGCCTGTTGGGAGCAACAGCAATGCTGTGTTATAGGGTAACACACTGTAACAAAGAGAAGGGCACAGCTTGGCGACTGGAGTATCTATGGATATGAACAACTCATTGATGCTTAGTTTAAAAAAAATAAAAAATGCAGACTGGCTTTGTAAAATTGATCTTGGGAGTGATAAAGAGATCCAAGAAACAGTACCCAACATACATAAATGGCACTATATATAGTAAATTCAGATGTTAGCTAAGGCTGCAGACCAGTGAAGAAAAAGAAAAGGGCAAAAGTGTGTTAACAAAAATAGAAAAATGACTCAAAGTGGACCTGGTGATAGGAAGAAGAAACCACAACACCATCAGCATCACTACCTGATAACTTTGTTGTTATTCCCTCCAGCAGCCTCAAACTACTGATCTAAATGCCCAGAGGAGCAACCTCGAGGGGAAGGAATTGAAACTAAGAAGTGTCCATGCACACATGTGTGTCTGTAACAATTTTAACCATAATATTACTATTATTGTGACTTTGTTCTGTAAATAAGTACTTTAACTGCATTATTACTGCTTCTTTTTTCTAATAATTAGATCCAGACTAATGATAATTCCTAGACCATTTATTACTATGCAATATACTACTTATTTATTGTAGACTAAGGTTTACGTTGTAGTAACAAAACAAATCTTGTCTTTATCCATATGAGATTTACTTCATCTTTACCCATAAATATCACAGAACCTCTCTCCATTCTTCAATCCATTCAATTTTTAAACATGAGAGCATCTTGTTAAAAAACGTTTAATTCTTGAAGCCATCCTTGAGGTGTTCCCTCTGCCCTGTTTTGTAGGCATAAGCAAATAAAAATGCATATAAGGCTGCCTCAAGTGACTTCTCATTGCTCTTGGTATATGACAGTGTCAGTTCACCTAATTTTGTGAGGTTTTTAGTGAAGGATGCACGGGTTGTCCCTCTGTCCTAACAAGACAAAAATCACTTAATATCAAACCTCATTATCAGCTCAGAACTGCTGCTTCTGCCATCATGCTCAATCTCTGCAACTACAGACAAGAATTAATGGTATTCATGTTTTTATTTATAAATTTATAAAACCTCTGACTGCCAATTTGTATGTTTTTGAGAGTTGTAGATTCTGGCTTCCAAAACTTTATCTTCTGTGGTATGAACAGTCCATATCCCTGTCCTCCCAAGTATGTAAGGCAGAGGGAACCTCTGGATCTGGTGGTAAGCTGCACTTATCCTCTGGATTTGGCCAGGCTGTGGCTCTGTCCAGCTGGCTCCATCGACCCTGGGCTGTTTGGGGGGAAGCTGGGGCAGCCACTGGGGAACTGCTTTTTGGGGACAGCTCCTGGCAGTGTGGTGAGTTTCAGTTGCATGGAGTGAATTTCTGGGAGGCAGTGACTCTCCAGGACAAGGCTGTTTTTTGCCTTTCCGTCTTCCCCTTCCTTTCCCTTCTTTCCCTCTTCTTCTTTGCCCTTCTTTTAAAAAAACCCAGCAAATCAGTCTTACTTAGAACTTCTGGTTTCTATAAGAATCTAGAGAGGCTTTGTAACACACACCCCCCACATACACCCACACCCACACCCCCCTCTTTGTTTCTCATTTAAGTGACTGCGTGGAGGTCTTGTTGGAGTTGATGTTTTGGAGCTTAAGAAAAAGGTTAGTACAGCTACTATTCTGAATAACGTTCAAGGTTCTAGCAACCAGGTATTTGATAAGTGATGAAAAGAGGCAGTGAATTGAGAAGGAAAATGGATTAGAGTATCTACACAAATTCATGTATTTTATGGAAAATAAAGGTTGCAGGTAGTTGTAGAAAAATGTATTTATAAGGTTTCTGCAATGCCAAAATCAAATATGGACACCAATGATTCATTATGCTGCTAAGTATTTCTGGATTTCTGGTCTCTCCTTCTGACCCAGGTGTCTGTTTTCTTTGGTATATTGCTTGGTACATATGGGAAAATGCAGCAGTCTTCCACCTGGAATGCAAAAATTTGCTTCAGTTTCCTTGTTTTTAATAAATTTAGTTGCATCTGTATGCTTTGGTCTGACACAAATGCCTCTTAAATAAATTAAATGCAGGAAAGTGTTTAAAATAGAGTAACAGAACAGTTTCTGCAGCCATCTTTGTAACTTGGTGTGCACTGCACAGGAAAATTCAGAAATCCTCCTACATCCCTATTGCTTTGATTTCAGGGAAAGCTGTAGCTGGGCTGACCAGGAAAAGCTGCATTGCATAGCAACTGCAGAAGCTTCTTATTGGAAACCACGTGTCCAGAAGTGGGTGGGGAACAACAACTGCATGCATATTTTGTACAAAGACTTTTTTTTTTTACTTGAGTGTTCTGTACATACACAGGAATAGGAAATGGCTTTAAAAATATCTACATATTTTGTGGGAGAAAACTCCTATCTGGACATTTCCTAGGAGCAGAAAAATATACATGCTGACAAAGAATTTCCCCCTTGTATCATTAGCCCAGCCAAACAGTGGCCTGAAATTTTCATTATTAGAATAATGTAAGTGAATGATACCATTAAATGGTATAAATGATATAAAATATAGGATCACTTTAAATATCCTGTATTATGCAGGTTTCAGTGTAGCCTAGGTTAATATATAATTACTACATTTGAAAGCAGCAGTAGTGACATTTTATAATTTGAGTTTTCCCCTAGGAAGGAAAAATACTCTGTAATTTGACATAACAACCCAAGTGAATTGCCGAACAATATTTTTTTTACCCAACTTCTTTAAAACCAAACAATCCTAAGAAATGAGATCCAGGAAAGCAAAGGATCACAGCGTCATTTGTATCTACTGACATATCCACATACCAAAACAAGGGGATGCTATGAAAATTCCAATGATTTTTCGATTAAAATCTTAATGCTTTCTAAATAAACAGAAATATTTCAGTTCCTGACACCCTCCTCCTCTACCACTGTGTGTTTAGTATCAGGTTTCTGTATTATTCTATGGATATTACTGTGGGCCTGGCCTAATAACATGAATATTTATATTAAAGGATTGAATTTGGTCCAAGTTTTTTCAAGCCCAGTCACATATTCCCTGACCACAGACACGCTTCTCTGGGAAATTAGAGCTATGCGCTGCAGTGCCTGCCAATTAATTGCCTCAGGTTTGCAGGAAGCAGTGATGACAACCCTGCTGTAACTGCGTGCCTGCATGTAACTTAAGCCCGTTTGTATTAGGCTTGCTGTGTTTAGACAGTGCTCAGAGATGACGGACGAGCGATCTGTTTGTGTAAGAATGGCAGTGATTGCTGGCAATGCTGTACAGTCCTTCGGAAGGACCGGCGGCTGCCGATGCGCGGTGTCCGGCACGCTGGGGAGGCATCCCCGGGATGCTCCCTGCGGACAAAGGGAGAGCCCGCGGCGGGCGCGGCTCATCCCCTCCCTCTCTCCTCGCTGCTGCTGTCGCTTTCTGCCCGGAGCCAGCTGCGGGCCGTCAGGAACACACCGCACAGCCTCGCACGGCGGCTCCGTGAAGGCTCTGCAGGCTCCGGAGGACGGGCAGATGCAGAAGACGAGGAGGGCTGGGAAGCAAGTCCACGGGCGCCGCTCCGGAGGCTGAGCGGCTCCTGAAAAGGGAACCCTGGGGAAGGCGGGGGGATGCAGGCGGTGTCGCTGGAGAAACGCTGAATCACGCCGGCTCGGGCGGCTCAAGGCCGGGCGGGCGGTGCGGGCGGGCCCCGCCGCCCATAGGCCGCGCCGCTGGGCCGAGCGGCGGCCGGCCCGGCGCCTCCTCCCGCCGGGCGCTCCCCGCGCCGGCAGCGGGGACTGGGCGGTCCCGGCGGGGCTGCGGCCGCCCCTCTCCGCCCAAGGCACCGCCGGCGTGCGGGACACGCCCCGCCCGGCCCCGCCGCGCTCGCTCCGCCGCTAGGGCGGCCTCCCGCCCTCGCCCCGCGGGCCGCGCCGCTGCCCCCGCCCCTGTCCCGGAGGGGCGGCTCATAATCCCCGGCCGGCCCCGCTCTTAGCCGTGTCGGATTCTGCTTCCCCGCGGCGTCCCGGATCGTTCTCGCAGGACCAGGATGCCGGGCCTGGTGGTCGCCGCTCTCCTGCTGCAGAGCATCGCCGGCTCGGGCGCGTTCGCCGCAGGGAGGAGGAATGTGGACCCCGAAACGAACATGAACATCGTGAGTGGCGCGGCGCGGGGAAAAGTGCTCGAGCCTTGTGAGCGGGCGCGGCCGCGGGCGGTACCGGGGCTGTGCCGGGGCGAGGAGCGGGGCAGAGGGCTCTGCGCGACCTCGGCAGCCGCGGAGAGAGCCCCGGAGGCTCCAGCCACCTGTGCACGGTCAGCCCTGGGCTGCAGCTGCTCGCACCCGCTGCTTACACCTCCTCTTTCTCTTCTCCTCTACTCCTTTCAGGTTCTTCTCTGTCCCCTGTTGTCTGTGGCGAATCTTTCTCTTACATATTGTCTGACGCAGATCTGTGTTTTTTTGCCAGAGTCCGGACATTCTTTCTTAACTGCTAGAAAGGCGGATGTTCACACTTGTGCTCTCAGCGCCACGGTTTCGTGTTCTTACCCAAAACTGCTTTTTTCCCCATTCGGCATTTACTCTCTTAACTTCATTCTCCTTCTGCTGCAGTAGCCAACTCGTGAACGTATTTGCTGTTGGGAGCTGTTGGTAACTGGTATTAGTTGCTCTTTCCTCTGCCCCATCTAAACCTCAGGTTTTTTTCACATGTGTGAGGAGATACTTTAAGCTAGAAATGCTCGAGGTCTTTAAGAACAGAAGTGCTTGGATCATGCAAATACACTTTCAAGAACTGAAAATAATAATTTAGTCTAAGGCTAATAGCATTTGAATAGAAGTTAGCCTTAAAATCATTTTGGAATGTTAATGTCACTGTGGATAATGAAAGATGTGTTTAAAAGGAATAGTATGCTTAATTAAATTCTCCTCCTCCTTGTGCAGCAGTCTGTGAGCAGAACTCTGATCATGTCTTGCATTTCTTGCATTATCTCAAGACATGGTTGGTGTCATAAAACCAATTAAATAGCAAGCTCACTTCCCTAACTGAGTTGCATCAAAATGAAATAACATAAAGCCCCAAGACATAAGAGATGGGAGATAAACCTTATAATGAAATTATAGGCTTAAATGAGTGTAGAGATTTTTATTGTTATTTTCTTGTTTGGTTTGTCAACAAAGTCACTTAAAAGCTCTGCAACAGACATAAAGCTTGAGGAGAAAGTAAGAAACAGCACATCCTTCTCTCCTTCCATATGCTACAGTGGTGCCAGCGAGTTTTTTTTGCCCTCAGTTGTTTATTACCAGAAGATACTTGTTTACTTTAGAGTAGACAATTTCAAATTTTGTCTGCCAAATTTGCATCTCAGTGTTTTGTCCTGTTACCATAGTCTCCTTTTCAACACTTCTTTCTTCCTGTGAGCACTGTGTGGCTGGGGACAGGCTAAGGAGTCCTCCCAGATTCCTGGGATAAGGTCTGTGTGCTGGCTGGTTCCTGACTCTGTCCTGGGGTAAGTCTCATTAAGAAAACCTGCCTGCACTGAATGGGCAGGTGGTATTGCACATTCCTGCCACATCCTTTAATTTCGAATTGCTCTCTTTAGAAGAAATCCAGAGTACTTTGCATATGTTCCTGGACTGAGGAGCCTGACAGTCTGGCTCCAAGATGATTTCTTTTCTTTCCTCAGAGCGAAATTATCACCTTCAGGGGATATCCTAGTGAGGAGTATGAAGTGACGACAGAAGATGGGTATATCCTTTCCATTAATAGAATTCCTTATGGAAGAAAAGGCCATGAGGGAAGCAAAGGTAAGATTTCTGTCCATTTGGAAAAATGGGAAGTAGTGAAAAAGCTCAATCGATTTATAAAACTTTGGCTCCTGTGATCCAGAAAGTGATTAAAGACTACATGGCCTATGCAATTTGAATACCTATGCAATTAGAATATTTTATTGGTGACTGTTGTGGCCAAAGTAGATTAGGCACTTGTACAATGGCTTGAGTAAAGGAAGGAAAAAGGGTTTAAAAAGCTATGTTTTTCTGGCATTATCTTTTTGTGTCATTCATACAAAGCTGTTCATGGTTGGTTGATTTTATTTATTTTTTTTTCTTTCTTGGCAAGTGAAAAATAAGAGTTTAGATTTGTTGGGGTTTTAAAAGTCATAAAGTCTCTTAAAAAGATATTGGTTGTAACATTGATGGGTTATTTCAACCCTCATTTCTAAAAATGTTTCCTTTTAACAAGTAAGTTCGTTTAAAATGCGTGATTGTTTTCAGAAGTAGGGCCAAGTCATGTACCTCATTTGGTGCAGTATAACTAAACTGCAAGAGTTCTCACTAGAATGTTCACAGAATAATTACTGCTTGATTTTTGCATAAAAAAGGAATTTGTTTCTTAAATTTAACCTCTCTGAAGCTTCCTTTATAGTAAGATACAAGCCAGACCAATACTGCATACTTCTGGGGTGTCATATTTCACACAGCTGCTTAATTAGGTTAAAAAAGAAAAGGATAAAGTTGCTTCAGAATATCTTAAGTACAAAATGTTTAAAAATATATTGCAAATTAGGGTTTGCAATGTGTAAGAGGTAGTTGATGTCAGAAACTCCCAACCAGGTTGTTTAATGGATGTGATTTGATGGGGCCTGGGGAGAGCATTGGCACGTGCTACCAGAGTGCTGTTACAAGGTGTAAGGACTACTGAGAAAGCTGGTGTACAACCATGGAAGAGATGCAGGGGGTGTACAGGAGGAGGCAGGGGAGAGAAAGGATACGAGGAATGTAAGCTCAAACTTATAAGGGAGCGATATGGGCAAAGGTTTTAGCGAGGACTGGATGATGAAATGCTTTAAAAATGAGACAAGTGGATGTGGAAGAGGAGAGAAACGTACCCTTTGACTTGCTATCCTCATACACTGCATGTGGCATTAACAGTGTGTGAATAAGTGGCTGAGTTTGGTAAACATTCATACAGACATTTCTACAACAGCAACCCATTTGAATAGAAACTGTACATATTCTAAGCACTGCCTTAGAATGCTTTGGACTGAAAGAAACTGGGATTAGAGGTAAAATCATGGAACTCACAAAAGGAATCAGTGATTGTCCTACAGCCTTGGTGTGAACAAGAGCTGTGGAAAAACCCTTTCCCCTGTCAAAGGCCAACCAGCAGTCTTCTTGACCTTATCTGTTGGTTTGGTGTGGGTTAGGATGTTTGCACTGTCCCTTGTGTCTCACAAGGGGCGTGTAAAGATCAGTGCGTGGATGAGGCCCATCAAACCTGGCAGGTGTCTTTGTACTTAGAGAAGCCCACAGGAAACAGACAGGCTGCCTTTGTACCTGTTGATTTTGTTGAATCCTTCATTGATGACATAAGCAAACAGAAGTTTCCTGACCTCTGGGAATTCTCCACATTCCCCTTGCCGCACCCTCGACCCCAAGTTCATGTTTTGCAGAGCGCTTTAATTTTAAAACCAAGGATTACTGGGCACATTTGTGGAAGTATGAGCGCCTGGGAGAATGAAGATTTCAAAGTTCATGTTGATCTTCAGTTTTTATAGACTCGGTATCTTTTCTCAGAAAGATACCAATGATGTGTTACTGCTGACTTAGCGTATATATGATGTATTTTTCTTTTGCAATACCTGCATAATGTGAATAGGATCCCTTGGAATTATGTATCACATGATGTTTTGGAACAAAACCCACAGTTCTTCAGGAGAAAAAAAAAAAAGAAGAGAAATGTCCAGAGAACATAAAAGCAAAACATGAATGATTTTTGGTTTTAATATTAACAAAAAACCTAAAGCAACTGCATAGTATGGGTAAGAAGGGCATGAAAATAAGTCTGTCTTCAAATTCTTGGGTTTATAGTGAAGAGAACAAAATGTTCTATGCAGAAAGGGTAGTTTAAGGACCTGCCTTTTTTATTCCCCCTCTGGGATGTTTGAGATCACAGGTGAAAGAAAGTAATAATTATCATCCAAGTCACTTTGTCATATGATTGTGCAATTCACGTGGAGATCTGCTGACTACTTAGTAAAGTGAAAAAGGAACTGGGAGGAACTGGAGGTTAACAGGAGAACAGAATTAAAGCGTTAAAGCAGTTAAATGGTCTTCCCCATCCAGTGTTGTGAAACATGCAATAGCAGCTTGAGGAAAGCCTGTTCTTCAAAAAATCGGAAGCTGGTTGATATAAGTTTAATAAAAGGAAAAAAGATATCAAACTAAAAGGGAAACAAATTCAATGTAAGGCTTGAAAATCCTACTACTATCAATTAATATTACTGCAGCAGAATAAGCAGTTGTGTTGAAGGGTACTGTCTCCAGGACCAGTTTGGCACAGCTGGAGATTTGCTCTATTTTTTTCACAGGATGCCATGTGAGCTTTTCTAACAAAATGGGAGAAGCAGGCACTCAAAAGGTTGCCCATCACAAGTATAAAGATTACCAGAAAAGGGGAATATTGCTAATCTGCATTTTGGAACTTGTAGCAAATATTTATGGACGTGACCTGGAATGGAGGGTATAGGTAAATGAAATAGTTTTGATTTGCCTGTTTCTGCTGACAGATCCAAGTCTAAATTATCAATGGAGGAAGCATTGTGTGATTCTGTATTGTAGAAGAGCGATGTGTCATTGGAGGATGTAAATTCCTGTGTAATCTCTGGTACTGAGATAAATTTATCATGTTATCTGATTTCAGTTATTAAAGCAGAAGTAAAACCCAAACCACATGTATCACTATGAGGAATAGAGACAAGTTGTTGTATTTTCGGAAGGTCGCTTCTCCTAAAGGATTAGATGTTAATTTATTTTCCTTATGTAGAAGCAGAAACCTTCAGTTTTTTGATCTGTGTTCCACGTGAAGGTGTTATTTGCCTTTTCAGGATGGGGAAGTCAACAGAGGCTCTTTCTACCTTCTAGATGAATCTTAGCTGTGTATTTTATAACTACTTGAATCAAGGGGAGAAAGTCCTTTGAAACACAGATTTTTTTTTTTTTTTTGGCTATTGTACTGCTCTTCAGGTTCTGCCAGAGCTTTTGTTATCGGAGTTGCATTGAGATAATGTCAGTAGCAGTTGCAGAGATTTCCATAGCTCAGCGGACTTGTTTGGCATTGTCTCAACTGGAAAACAAAGATCTCAGTAGCACATATGTGGGAATGCCTTCCCCACGTGCAGGAGAGCAGGAGAAGGTCCTAAGTAGTTTAACAGCCTCTGTGTTTGGGCCATTTGGCTTTGTGAGCTTGAAACAGTTGTGAGGGCTGCCTGTGTTTTTCTTGTAGCTCCTGCTTTTCTCCTGTTTGCTTCATGCATATTTGTTTTGAGCTTCAGGTTAGGAAACTAACAAGCTGCTAGTTTAAAATCCTTAATGATAAAAAGTAGCTTTTTGTGAACAAGCATGTGATTTCATAGCATTATGACTATTATACAAATTCCTAGTCTTAGTAGATGAAATCAAGTAAATTAAATACTCAAAGTGCAAGTCTAAAACAGACTTTCAGTGGCTTACTTGAATTACTCTTAGGTATTCAATTCCAAATGAACAGGAAGCTATGATAAATGCTTTATTTTTCAGGTCCAAGGCCTGCTGTGTTTCTGCAGCACGGTTTGCTTGCAGATGCCAGCAACTGGATCACAAACTTAGATTACAACAGCCTTGGCTTTATGCTGGCAGATGCTGGCTATGATGTATGGCTGGGAAACAGCAGAGGGAACACCTGGTCCAGGAAACATACACACTTCACAGTGAAACAGGAAGAATTCTGGGTTTTCAGGTATCCTTGTCTTGCTATCTTCAATCACATTGTAAAGGTACAAGATATTTTTTTCTTGTTACACGTGCTGTCACATATGTAGGGGCAGTAAAGGGGAGTTATGTGGTCAGTGCAGTGTGCTGAGATTCACAAGCAGTCAGTAGAACATTAATGTCTTTCACCAGTGCTTGGTGTGAAGACTCAAAAACCAGTGTTTTGCCTCACCCAAAGGAAATGTTTCTTTATGTCCTGACAACTGATCCACAGTGCAGGGACGCTCTGTGCAGCTGTTCCTCTTTACTTACACATCCTCTTTACTTACTGATCACTTTACTTACAAAACTGACTTTCTGTCTTTGCTTTGTAGCTTTGATGAAATGGCTAAGTATGACATTCCAGCCTCAGTGGACTTCATTTTGGCAAAAACTGGCCAGGAACAAGTATTTTACATTGGCCATTCACAAGGCACCACAATGGGTATGTGAAGAGATGCATTTGTTAGAATATACTGTGTGTGAAGTGGTATCAAGTTCCACAGATGTGGTTTAAAGATGAAAAAGTAGGGCTTTTGAAATCTACTGCTTCTGGGTTTTAACTGCTTCCTGGGATATTCATCAGCATTAAAATGAAAATACTTAACCTTTTGTATTTACTTTAAAGTGTAAGGATGTTGAAATGATAAATTGAGGTCATGGGTAGGCAGCAGAATGGCTTCTATTAAAAGGAATTGATGAGCTGTGTATAATAAAATTAGACTCATGAGACACATAGAATTAAGATTCCCATTTCCAGAATATTTTGCTGTGTGTAAGACCTTCAAATGTGCTTTAGACCTTCTAATAAAAGACTGTGCTTTAGACCGTCTAATAGAAAGAGTTAGACATGTTGGGTGAGTAAGCATTAATTTGCTTTTTGGAAGAAAACAATCCTTCTGAATTGGTGCATTTAATTTGGGTTTTGTACTAACTAGATTAATTTACATTATCTGAATTGATCCTAGATACTACAATCAAACTATTAATCTAAAAATACTTTGGCAGACTTGTTCATAGATTTTTGTAGAATTCCTGCCAGGTAAAAATCTCATCTAACTTGTGTCAGTGAGGTTTGTTAATTGTTCCTACATTGTTTACAGCTTTCGCTGCTTTTTCAACTTTGCCACAGCTGGCTAAGAAAATCAAAATGTTCTTTGCCTTGGCACCAGTAGCTACAGTCAAGTTTGCCACTAGTCCTCTGGTAAAATTGGGAGTGTTTCCTGACCTGCTACTCAAGGTTTGTATTTGAGTGTAAATGTTTTAAGCCAAATGAGCTATGCCCCTTTCTAATTGAAAATAGCATAGCAAAGAATGTTAATAGCTGTGGATTAGAGAGTAACATGACAAGAATTCTGAGTCAGTTTTACCATAATGGTGCTTTTGAAGTCAGCAGTGGCTTCTCTGGCTTTATTACTGTCTAGTGAGACAATTTGCATCTGTTTAAAGTAATATTTTACAATTACAACTTAATAGATGGAATAAAAATATGTTTTTCCATTAACATTTTTCTAGAATTTAAGCTACCAAAATCACCATTAATTAAATAGTTCCTCTGTTTTAGAAGAGTCATATGATATGTTTATATAGAATACTTCTGAATTGTCATGCAGTGTAACAGATTTGTTTCACAATTAACCATCTAGTATGGGAAGATGATCCTTCAGAGGGTGATTAAGAGCAGCAGCTTTATTTAGATGCTGTGAATCATCCTCTGGAGGAGTTTACCTTTTACCCATTAACATCAAGGGCAGGCTGCAGTAAGTGCCTGAAGCCAGACATTGTGAACACCCTGCTGTGTGTCATTTTTAACCATCACTTTCTTGCCACCACCCATGGAGATTCCCACACAGAGTTGTTTGTTCTGTGACATAAACCCTCCTTTGATGTACCTTGTACTGATTTAATGTGCTGTCTGCATTATTAGTTCCCTGCTCCAAAGGCAGTTAACATAAAAGGGACACTAACAATTGTGATCTCCTGTTCCTTGCATAATGAACTTTACCAAATGAGAGTAATGGCTGATCAGTGCCCTGTGCAGATGTTCCTGTTGTGCTGAGAAACTTGATTCTCATGGTGACTTGCAAAAAAATGGAGTGCATGGGGTACCTCAAAGTGACGAACTCGTGGGTCAGTCATATCTTTAAAGAGCTGTCACTTTTAAGGAAGTTCTCACTGGGCCATTTAAAAATATTTTTAAAAATACCCATCAAGAGGAAGGGGTCACTGCATCTCATGCAACTTGTTTTTCTCTCATGGGTTGAAGAGAGGAAGTTGCAAGTACAAAAGCCATTTAACATTAGCAGACACAGCTTAATATACTTTAGCCCTAAACAATTCTGATGAGAAGAAGCTGTACAATGTTCCCATAAAATACTGAATTTAAATTTTAATTGAATTTGAGGTCAGGTTTGGGATATTAGCAGTTCCCATTTACTTTTTGTGGAGTTAATGGACTGCACACTTTGTAGCAGAAGCATTAACTGTGACGTTCCCATGGGACTGTAAACAAGGCTGATAAGGAGACAAATAATTTTCGTAGGACACACCTGTCACCAGTGCAAATGGAAATCATTACATCAGGAAAGTTGTAGTGTAAAACCTGAAAACATGTCATTCTGTGCAATTACATGTTTGTCCTATGTGTTTGTTATTTTGCAGGACATGTTTGGAAAGAAGCAGTTCCTCCCGGAGAATTCTGTGCTGAAGTGGCTTGCTACTCATGTTTGCACCCACAGAATTCTTGATGACCTTTGTGGCAACTTATTCTTTCTTCTATGCGGTTTTAATGAGAGAAACTTGAATATGGTGTGTTCTAGTGACTTTTTTTTAATAGCCAAGTTATGGTGAACTCTAACACAGTATTGACTGTGTGTCACTCTACTGATGGACCTTTAGTGTAATTAGAAAACCACTAATGCTGCCTTCGTCATACTGAGTTTGGATGAATGTCTTTCCTTGGTATAGATTAGTTCCCCAGTTGGGATGGATAGAATTAACTTTTTAAAATGTTACTTGAAAACTAAAATACATTATTTTAGATCTTTTGGGGAAGGGTATCAGAGAAAATAATTAATATGATGGGGCAAGTATGTGCCTCCTTTTGCAAAGAAGTAAGGAATAAAGATATAGTTTTCAACTGTTTTTAAGAGTACTGTTCAAGTTTTCTGGTCTCGTGGTGAATGTGTGCAATTACTTTCTCTGGGACCAGTTTGTGACCCTGCTGATGGCTTCATCTGCATCTCTAGTTTCAAAGGAATTGGTTACAGAACTTGTTTTGTTATCTAAAAGCTGGTTAACAGCAAGTGGCATGAGACTGCATTTTTTTTTTTCATATTGCTTCTTAAAGTGTTTCCAGCTCCCTGAAATCAGTAAAAACTGATACCAGTTTAACCACAGGTAGATGAAGGCAGGGAATTTTTTTATTGGAGTGAGATAATTATATTTTTTTAATCACTCTGTGTGCAAAAATGTACATTTTTGTCTATTTATATAGATGTATTCATATACATCTTTATCAAGGTAAACAGTCCAGTTTTTTGATGTTTCCTTGCCCAACATATACAGTTTTCATGGTTGTAATGGTTGATAATATTTTTTTCTGCTGGGATTTAAGTTTCCCTGTGCTATTCAGCACTTCTAAATAAAAAGTGTATGAAGTTCTGAATCACTTTGGACTGACAGCTATTAGTTGAAATGTAGAGTAGCAAAAGTTTTTTTTCTGAAGGTCCATCTAAATATTAGTTAATGTGCTCCCAGTTCTTACAATACCTGCACTCTCTTTTCTAAATATATAAAAACTTAAGGGATATCATTATCAGCTTTAGTGTTCTGTGGTTATTTATCGGTAATTCCCCAAACGTCTGAACCTTTTATCTCATTTGTATTTGTGGTTCCACTTAACTTTTGTTTATAACAGTTTTAAGAGGAATGGAATAGTTTCTATTAGTTGTTCAGGAAGCAACAATGAGTAGAACTGATGCACTATGAGGAATAAAACATGTTAATTATCTTGTTGCAGAGCCGAGTGGATGTGTATTCAACACATTGCCCTGCGGGAACATCTGTCCAAAACATGATCCACTGGAGCCAGGTAGAGTTTGCAGAACGTGAAATGCCCATGACTCTAGCTTGTTTGTAGAATATTGATGCCTATGATATTTAAATGGAATAAAATACCCAAAATATATATGCAGCATAGCCTAAGTGAAATTTGGAAGTGACAGTTGTCAGAACAGCAGATGTTGTCTGCTTTCATGGTAAGGACTTAGGGTGGTTCACCCCTCTTCCCTATTTCTTTGAAAATATGCTAACTCTAAGAACTTCAGGCCAACAAAAAAAATACAGTAGAATAACTTAACTCGCAGAGATGCTGTAACAAATATTTGTTTCCCTTTCAGCAAACCCTGTTATAAGCTATATGTTTAGCCAGTGAAAAGCAGGAGGTTTTCTATTCTATTCTGTTTGGCTTCATTTTATGTTTTATTAGTATATTTTGAATTTCATCTCAATGCACAGTTTAATGCCTATGATGCTGTTGTGCCTGAAGCTTGCTCAGCAGGCTGGCAAATGAAACAGTCATCAATGTGATCTTGTAGCTGGACTTGGTCACCTAATCAGAAGCAGTGTGTTTTGCTGTACAAGGCTGTTCAACTCTTGCCTCAGAAAGAAATCTGTGAAGATTTGGGTTTTTTTTCCAGATCCCTGTTATATAGACATCTGTTTCTCAAAAATAGATGGTGAATCATGCAGAGCAGACTTTCTAAGAAATCTCTGTGCTGTGTTAATACACATTTAGACAGCAAGGTAAATGTATCAGAAGTAAGCATGGAGTTGCCACATCCTGGCTTTGGGTACACTGAACTGTTTTCCGTAATCTTTGCTACCATTGCTATGAGAGAGTTTGGAATCTTAAGGAACAAAGTCTAATGGTATTGAATGTTAGTGTTTCCCACTCCTTTGACATTGGGCAAAGCAGTGACAAAAGCAAAAACTTGTCGTTTTTAATACTTGGCATTCCACTGTTGTTTGTGTTGGTTGCCATTGCCAGTTGTCCACACAACCTACACGTGGTAATTCTTGTGGTAATGCTGCAGTTCTTTGTGTATTTGTTTATTTCTAGGCTGTGAAAACTGGGGAACTCAAAGCTTATGACTGGGGAAGCAAGGCTGCAAATATGGCTCACTACAACCAGGTAGACACCTTTTACAGATATAATTCTTCAGCATCATAAAAAAATAGTCCTTGGGCACTTCTCTCAGTACTGTGTTTATGCTAAAGAGCCATTTGTGTTACCCAGTAACCAAATTGGAGATCTGACTTAAAAAAAAAAAGGAAAGTTCTGTAGAGCTCTGAGGTAGCCCTAGTTCCATATGGAGCTCATCCTTGGATATGAAGTATGGAGGCATACTGTTTCTTGAGGGGGAGTCCTACCAGGCTAAATCGTGAGATCCCCTGCACTTCTCATCATTAGGCATAAACTGTCAGTTCATGTGTATTGCTTGTCTTTAGCTTGTTTAACCTTCATGCATTTTTGTTTCTAACTTGCTGCATGCAATACCTTGAACAGGATGCCTTCTCTGAGACTTCTGCTACCCTACTGTCTTGTAAACTCCTCAAACCATGTCTTTACTGCTAGGCATGCTGTAATATTGCAGGACACTTGCAGTTACATTTTTGGTTGAGTTGGGACTCCACCTCCATCTCTAGCTGCCCAAAAGAGAAAATGAGAATCTGGCACGTCCTTGCAGTTACTGCTGTGTTACACTGCAGAGTAGAATCATACAAAAGATTTTCTGTTTCTAATGCTTTTGTTTTCCCTTTCCTCCTTCTCAGTCTACTCCCCCTTTCTACAAAATAAAAGAGATGACTGTGCCAACTGCAGTGTGGACTGGTGGACAGGACTGGCTGGCAGACCCAAAAGATATTGCTATGCTGCTCACTCAGATCACAGATTTGGTTTACCATAAAAATATTCCAGAATGGGAACATTTGGATTTCATCTGGGGCCTTGATGCACCTTACCGCATGTACAATGAAATAATTAACATGATTAGGAAGCATCTCTAAACTGGCATAGTATTTCAGAGTATTACAAGAATTTGCCTTTTTTTTGAAAAATACACTTTTCTGGCAGTAATGCTACATTGTTTAGTATGATGCATTTTTAAAATGCCAGCAATGACTAGTGAATTGGATTCATATTTCATTGATGTTTTTCAGTATTATTTCTCTCTCCTCGTAATATTCTGCTGATTTTGCACACAGTGGCATGGTACTCAAAACACAGCAGTAGGACGTAGCACAAAAGGAGTATGTCACTTGCACATGAATTTAGTGACATGTCTGAAAGACAAGTTAGTCCGTTCAGCACATCAGATGCTTGAAAATTAAAACAACAAGTATTTCATTGTGCATAAAACACTGTCCTTTCCCAGTATGTTGTTATTTCTCAGTACCTTTCATGAGTACTCTGTGTACTACATTGACCCATTTGGTGCTGGCACTTTACAAAGCACTTAGTAACTTTTGGCTGTGTTATTATTTTAGCCATCACATGAAAGCTAGCTACATCAGATTACTTGCATTTTCAATGCTGCCCAGAAGAACTATCATGAAGCGAGAGATGACAACTGTCAGTTAAAATTCCTATTTTGGGACTGATTCATTGCTGCATTTTCTTGATTTAATGGTGTCCCTTTCATGTTTCACATACCAGCTATGGATACAGGTCATTATTTGCCCTCACAGATTACTGGAACAAGGGTAGTGGTTCAAAGAAAACCACTTTCAGTTAACTTTGTCAATAGGTCGTGGCTTTCAAGGAGAATGATGTAACATATACTTGCATTTTGCACTGACCACTAACTAGAAAACAAGCTCTCCCAGTAAACTAATGGTGGGAGAAGAGCCAAAGCATTAATTCCACAGTTTGAGTGGCTTCATTTGTGTGGACTTTCCCCCTTAATCATGTGCTGCTTTGAAGATCAATTTACTTCTTAACTGTTTATGTGGTGCTCCCCACCAGTGTGTTGAAGAACTGTACAACAGCCTGGAGAAGTCTGACAGTATTAACAGCAGTTCCATTTGTCTCAGTTTCCACTTCAAACTGGGGCTAAGCCCCCATTTAATGGGGAAGAGGATTCACATCTGCCTCAGAGTTCTTACTTTGGAGGTCTTTCTATTGACTATGCAGAGGACTTTTGCTTCTCTGAGATGCCTGTAAGTTCCATGCCAAATGAAAAATCTCCAGAGCTGTTTGCCTCAGTGCAGGTGATTTCTGTGCCATGGTTGAATTCAACCCAGATTTCTGTCAGTAATTCCAACAGGATAAAGAGCCTTTCTACACGGTATAGGAAATTGTGCATTTTAAACTGAACCACGCTTTTTTTAAAAAAAAAAAAAGGAAAAAAAAGGAAAAAAAAGGCAAAAATATACATAAGCCATAAATTAGGGCTTATTTGTTTCGATTTATTTTATTACTAACTCAGACTCAGGGAGATGTCACGTGTTGTTTAAGGAAAAAGTGATTCACTGGTTCAGGATATCTTGGTTGCAATTCCTAGCAGGACCTCTAAGTTTGCTTTATATTTGTATCAGCTAGATTTGCTTCACCTTGCTGTGCTGAAAGGAAGCTTCTGTAGGAATCCAAGGTGGCTAACTTAGCAGTTGTGAGAGTATGTGTTATGGCAAGAACCATGTGCATCATGTTTGTTAAGCTTGAGGTATTTCAATAAACATGAGATCTGCTTGGCATTTGCAGTGGTGTGGCGTGTTTCACTTCCTGCTTCGTGAATGCATGTGAATCTTTGGGACAGAATCCAGAAAGCAAAGTGTGTTTTTCACAGCTTTTCGTCCATAAAACAAGCACAATAAAAAAGTAAAATAGCCAAGTAAGCCTAATTTTACTTTTTCTTTGAAAGAATTTTTCCCTAAACCAAACCTAAAAGGCTGTTCTTGTTGTTCTGGAAGACTTTAAGTAAGGCACTACTTGTAAATAATTGTTCACGAGACAGATTAATTTTTTAAGCCTCCAGGTGAGGCTTCTTTCAAACCACTGACAGGATGAAAAGCTTCTTGTATCATATTCTTAAACCTTCAGTAATTGGATTGCTTAACAGACTGTGTGGTAATCTCATAAATAGCATATAACCACACAGTAAGTCAAGGAACTAATCTTTGCCATGGCACACCTGAACCAGCTTTTGACCTTTGTCCCCTTCAGTAATAAATATTCTGAGTCTGTACCCTTCTGTACATTCTGAATACTATAGTTGTACAGTCAAGACAGTGGAGTGTATTAAATCCTACATGTACCTGGAAATAAAAGCCATTGTGGAGCTTCTGTCACTCCCTGGAGCAGGGATGGTTGTGAAAATGTGAGCTGCTGGGCTCTCCCTGGCTCACTGAAGTTTCAAGCACTGTGCGGCATAAGATTGCAGAGGTGTCAGTGGAAAGAAATGTGCAAAATAAGACACCTTGAACACAGAGGAGAAGATTGAGAAGCTTGATCTAATAAGAATCAGCAGCGATGGATGGTACATTTTTCTAAGCAGATCTTACATACTTAGTGCCTGTTTTATAAACATCTGTGTGTTACAGGTCTGTGTATATATATAATGTTGAAGGTTGGCTGGAGATCAGCTTTGGATAATATAAAAGTGCATTAGCTTAACAGAGGGCATCGGACACCTTCATCTGATTGGTCTCAGCATTTAGTGACATGGTCAAACTTTGCTGGAAAGCCAGAAGAAAGTAGTCCCTGTTCAGCTGATGCATTGTCAGACTCAAAGACCTGTGTGCATCTGAAGATAATACACAATCCAGGGCTTTGACGTAGAGATGTACAACAATTGGACCTATGAGGCTAACACAGGTGTAAAGACACGTGATTTTGTCCTCATGTTTGTGCTTGGAACTTGTAAAGAATTTTTTTGTAGTCATCTGCAAGTACATTCACACTGTTCATTTCATGCAGAAGGCCTAAGATGGTAGAGTGTGTGCATGTTAATGGAGTGTACTGAAGGATGCACTAGTTACAGGCAGAGCATTTTTATGCTAGTTAGTGATTCCATGGCTAGTGATAACACTGACAGAAGTTTATATGCATCAACTCGAGCAATGCAGAAGTGCCCCTAGCATAAGAAGAGATGGTAAAACAGAGTTAAGTTGGGGAGGTGGAGATTAGGAATTTGATAAAGAAAATGGGTTAGTTCTGTTAAGAAAAATACTTTGTGTTTAGGCTACAGTTTTTAATCAAAACTGAAGGGGAATGCTTGTTCTTCGTCCTCAAATTCTCAGGATCCCCATGGGCTCGGGTTTCAAGCTTCTGGCCTGGGATGTGAGGAGTTTCATGTCCCTTCTTTGTATCTAGATCCTTCACTTGAATATACAGAATAACTAAATAGAAGGAGACCATAGGTTAGAATCATAGAATCATTTAGGTTGGAAAAGACCTCCAAGATCATTGAGTCCAACCCATGAAAAAGCTTAGAAGTGGTAAATACGCCAAGCTCCTCTTTCCCCGCAACCCCGTGCACCTATAAGGCCGTGCCTGTCAGCGTTTTGTCCTGCTGCAAAGCAGTGCAGGGTTTGTTACCGCTGAAAACGTGACCGAAGGAGCGTGTCCCGGCGCTGGCCGAAGGGGAGCGGTGGGGGTGCGTTTGCGGCGGGGCGGCGCTGGGGGGCGCTGGTGCGGCAGGGCGGCCGCGGGGGGGCCGCGGGACCCGCCCCCGGAGCCGCTCCGCGATGGGAGCGTCCCGAGCTCCGGCCCCGGGATCAGGTGAGTCACGGTGTGAGCACCTCGGACTCACCGGGTGCGCCCAGCACGGTAACGATTCCCTCTAAAACGACAGCAGGGGCTGCCGCTGCCTTCCTCTGCTCTAGTGACTGTCCTGCTTCCCTGGTACTGGTCCTGAGCGAGGACCTACCATCCCTCTTCCCCAGCACCCTTTTCCCGCTAGAAGGCTCAGCATGCACTGGGATGTTGCCGTACTTCTGGTACAGCAACAGTCCTACCATACAGGGAGGGAGAAGAGGTGGAAAGAAAAGGATTTTCCCCTCTGTTACTGTATTAATTTCAGTATGTTGATTCTAGTTTTCTGCTAACTTCTCCTCATTTTCCTACCCACGGCAGTATTTGACTGTTTACTTTATAGCTTGTACCTAACAGTGCAGCCTGGGGTAGGTGCTTGCGTTTTGTGCTCATGTGGAATCTATTTAAGACCCTTTGTGGGGCCTCATTCCAAACTATGTGCCCTTCAACCTAAACTCTGTAGCAGGAGCCTTGAGCTTTTGAGAGAACCATTTAGATTCTTGTAACACATGGGAAAGTTTGGCAGCATTGTAAGTTGAATGAAAAAAGCTGGGCTTGTGTTGCTGAATTAGGATTTGTGCGCAGTTGGTCTTTTCTTCCCGTTGTACCTTGCGCTGACCGAGAGACTGAAGTGACCGTACCGGAGATGTGTCGCAAGTGCGTTTTAGTGGCTGAGCCAAACGCCTTGGACACGGTTTCTGGAGGATGAGGGTTTGTGAGGATTCATTCTCCCGAGCGCAGCCGCTCGGTGAGGGGTGGGCCGGGCTGAGCCCATTCCCGCGGAGCCCATTCCCACGGCGAAGCCTATTCCCGCGGCTCCGGGCACGGTGCGGACCCGGCTCTGGGCGGCGCCAGCCTCCCAGGTAAGTGCTGCTCTCTTGCCCCCTGCTTGGGATTTGTGTTGCAGGATAGATTAGTAACAGGACTGCAGAACTCCGTTATTTTTCCTTAAGGGATCTCCGAATATTTTTCTATGACCTAAACTGCAGGCAAAATGCCTATTCTTTAAAATTTAGCTTGTAGGCAGCAATGGTTCTAAAACCTGAGGCTTCACAGGGTTGTAGGGATTAGACAGAGGACTGTCTTTAAGATGGTTGAACAATTACTGTCAATCTCCCTTTAGGCAGATTTGGAATACAGTATAGAATAAGTTTAGTCCCTTCATAATTCTAATAAAATAGAGAATCACGTATCCCATCTGGGAGACTAAATTCTGATTGTAGCTATATAAATCAATAGAAATCACATGACTATTCTCAGACTCAGGTGATGATTGTGTTACAAATGCATTTTTCATGTCCTTATTGTGAAATAGAGATTAAGAAAAAATACAGTCAGAAGATTGAAATGAAGTTCCTGGATATAGATTCTCATCTGTTAGATTGATGTCTCTTACTGGGTTTTAATTTCACTACAATTAACAGTCTGAATTAATTAAAAAAAACCAGTCTCAAAACAGCAAAGAATCTAAATTTATTTCCAAAATGTATATGGGACAGGTAGACCTGTCTCCAACAAAGAAATTCTGATTGCCTGAATAATAGCACAGGTAATGTTACTATTTCAGCAAACTCCTTGAAGCCTAAGGAGAGGGCAAAATCTTCCTTAAGAGCAGAATCTGTTGAAGAGAAAATTGTTGAGACTGAAAGCAAACAAGTGTTACAAGTTCATGCATATTCAGAAAAGCTAATTAATGCTAATTAATCATTCTTAATTATTGAGAAGCAAGGAAATTCTGTCTCCCATTTCCCCCATCAGATTTCTTTTCTGATTAGCAAAGAACTAAAATCATCTGAACAAGCTAATAAAGTCATCCAGGAAGTTGAGCTCATTTCCAGCAGTAGAATAAATGCTGTACCTACAAAAGAAGTGAGTTCATAGGAAGCTGGTGGCAAGCTTTGTTTCCCTAAGTGTTCAAAGCTTTGTTGTTCTTTTTCTAAAAGCACAAAAGAAGTGATGTCTTAGTGGTTAAATCAAAACCTCCATCATTTACCCCTAAAATATTTTTAGCAAATTAGAGATGTTGGGAGTCAAGCCTGCTAGCTTTTGTCTGTGATGTGCTTGCCTGTGGTCACAGGAAGATCCTTTAAAGGATATAGGTCTAACTGGCACACCTTTTAATTGCTTGCATTAGTTTGATGCTCGCGTAAAGGATGATTTCCATATCATCTTGCTCAAAGACCTGTTGAGATGTGGAGTGAATATTGTAATCATGCAATAATACTTGTCACTAAGTATCTGTCTTGAAGCATAGTGAGATGTTACCTTGTATTGTTCTCCAAAGCAGGGAGATATTTTGTTCTGCAAAAGTTATTGGCTCAGTTTTGCATCTGCTCTAGAATTTTTCCATGTCAAGTACAAGTGCATAAAGGAGAACATGGCCTCAAAAGTAGGTGGAAACAAGTCACAGCCACCACATTTAGACTGGAAGCATAGTGTAGGTTTCCTTAAGGTTTTAACTAAGCCTGTTGTATAACCAAGGGATCATTAAGAAAACCTATATTTGCACTCATCCATTACTGACCACATATCCACAAGTCAGACCAGGTGTTTAGGTACCCCATACATCTTAGGTAGCAGTCACATAAAAAGAAAAGAAAAAGCTATTTGTATTTCCTTACCTATAAAGGCAAAAAGATAACGAAGGATGATGACACAGTTTAAAATTAGTAAGAGACAGCAATTTTTCAAGTGTTTGCACTAAGTGGAGTGGAAAATGTTCCAACGCTCTTCCTTTGAGTTCCACTATTAAGAGTTCTGCACTTCTGCTTGTGTTTCCTACTTTGCGAGTCTCTTGTAGAGCTCTGTGATTACTTTGACCAGCTGATTGTGCTCTGAGATTGTAATGCATTATATCACCTCTGTATACAGAAAAGGGAACTTCCTCTTTAAAGCGGCGCGTTACTATGTAAGGAGGATTTCTGATGGGGCGGAGCTACTT